TTCTAAACTAGTCAGATGGCGACTAAAACTATCTGAATTTGATTATGAAATCAAATACAAAAAAGGAACATTAAACATGAATGCAGACGCACTATCAAGAATTCCTGCAATACAACTTCATGCCATTCAAAAATCAGATCCAGATGCCAGATTAACATCTTCAGATGAAGAATTTCATAAAAAATTAGGATTAATGCTGAAAGATACACCATTATGTAATGATGAAATCATAGCAAAATACTTTACAGATTCTAAAGTATATATTCCTAAACAAAGCGAGATAGCCAAAGAAAAAGAGATAACAATGTCTGAATCATCTCAATCAACAAAAACAGCATCAGAAAAGGAACCTCAAGAGGAACCTAAGAAAGTAAAACCCAAAATAAAGATATTATCACAACTAATAATACCTCCAAGAAGAGAGAAAAAAGAAATTCCCATAGAAATAGGAGAATCTTCAAAAACTCAAAAAAGTAACAGACAAATAACACCAACTAATCGTTCTTCAACAATTTCAGCCTTGTCTGAAAATGACCAAACAATACATACATCTATGGAAAATCCAATATTAGGAGCTCCATATACTAAGAAACATGTAAATGTATTTGGAAATCAAATTGTATTTCGATATTCCAATAATAACACAATTAGAAAAGAGATAATCAAACTATTTGGTAATAAAAAGAGAATAATATTCTTCTTACCAAATAATCCAACAACATCACAAATTACTAATTTAGTAAAGGAATACATGCCACCTGGTATTTATTGCCTTCATTTCCTAAATAAATCTTTAGAACCTATTATGATACGAGCATTACAAGAATCGTTTAATTCGAATTCATTTACTTTGTACATCTCGAACTCTTTATTAGAAGACATCACAGAAGTTGATCTTCAACAAGAGAAAATTCAGCAATATCATGAGACTAAAACCTCTCATAGAGGAATCACTGAAAATATTGCAGCCTTAAAGAAAAGATTCTATTGACCCAATATCGAGGAAGACGTACAGAATTATGTCAAAGTATGCGAGATATGCAATAAAACCAAGTATGAACGTCAACCATACAAAATCATATTCAAACCAACACCCATTATACCAATGGGTGTTGGTTTGAATATATTTATATTGACACGTATATAATGAATAACCAGAAATTTCTGACCATTATTGATAGCTTTTCAAAATTTGGTCAAGCCTCTCCTGTAAATACGAAAACAGCTGTTGAGATATCGCCACAGTTATTGAATTTTTTTAGTGATCATGGAATACCTCAAAAAATCACATCAGATAATGGAGCAGAGTTCAAAAATGCTATAATGACAGATCTTTGTACATTATACAAAATTGAGTTTCATTACACAACACCAAGAAACCCGAACTCGAATAGTCCAATCGAACGATTCCATTCGACACTACGCGAAAGTATAACGAGTTTGAAACTTCAAAACCCGAATAAGAGTATTATCGATCTAATGACAATCGCTATATTGAATTATAACAACAGTACTCATAGTACAATGATTCACACCCCTTTTCAAGTGATTAAAGGAGATTTGAATTATGCCATACCAATCGAACAAACGGAAAATAAACTAACAACTGACTACATAACAAGTTTGGCAGAATCCGTTGCGAATTTGAATAAAGAAATTCAAGAAAAATTATTAGCGAAACAAACAAAGTCTTTAGAATCACGTAATAAAAATCGTGAACCTGAACCAGAATTACAAGATCCAATCTTTGTAAAACAATTTAATAGAGACAAGATAAGTCCGCGTTATGATAGCAAAACACAGAATCGCTTTGCTAAACAAAATATTAAAGGACAATAATTTATTTCAGGTACTCCGAGATGAATCCTTTAGTATTCCTAGTCATCCTAGTATTCCTTACCAATTTCTTTAGGAACTACTTACGTAACAACTCAACATAACACGGCCTATTATCACATAAACACGACAATTATCATACAAAGTATCCATAAACTGGAAATTACCTTAATGAAATTATCTGACACTCTTAACAAAACAACATGGTCAAACCAATTTGTTGCACTGTTTCAAACAAATATTGAAAACAGTCATTCTCAAATTAAGATTATAAAACAAGTAATCAGAAACTATCAAGACCGAAAACGTAATAAAAGAGGTCTATTAAATTTCATGGGCACAGCACAAAAATGGCTCTACGGAACCTTAGATGGTGAAGACGGCGCAAGATATGATTCTTATATCCAGACGCCTAATGATAATCAAAAGACTCTCAATGAAGATCTAAAAACACAAGCTCAAATATTGAAACAAGTTACAAAAACATTTCACGATCAATTTTTAACTATTGAATCTAACCAAAAGGTTATCACAGGAAAATTACAAAATATTTCCTTGGAAAACCAAAATTTCCACTCAATGTTAACTTTTAATCTAATATTGAACAATATCAATATTCAAAGTAATAAAATAAGGAATCTTATTGATCATGTGTCTCGCAATAAATTTTGCACAATTGGGAATAATGCATTATACTATTTTACAGCATAATGAATTAAATCAAATATTAACAAATATACCCAAAAGTCAGCAAATACCTTTTGATAATAAAATCAAGTATTATGAGACAATGAAAACTCAAGTAAAAATCCGAAATGAGTTAATTATATTTGTTATACACACACCAATGATTGATCCCAAGCCCTTTATATTGTATAAAATCAATCCAATTCCTATCCAAGAACATACCATTAGGAATAAGTACCCTTACCTATTACTTACTACGGACATTTACTACAATACGTTATGGGAATGCACGAAAATCGAAAGTGTGTACCTTTGTAACCAAGAAGAGCTGAAGCAAGAAGAATCATGTGTCTATGACCTGATTACTGACCTACCACAACAATGTCCTTTCACTAAAGTGAAATATGAAAAACCAACAGTGAGACAACTCCCGAATGGACAACTATTAGTCATTCCTAAGAAAAGCCTGACCATAGTTATTCAATGTGACAAGACAAACCATATGGAAATAATAACAAAGCCAACGCTAGTTTCGTTTGAAAAATGCTTTGTGAAAATACAAAATCAAACATTTTCAAAAACCAGCGAGAACTTCAATTTTGAACTGAAGATTCCAAGAATAGACATCCCTGAACTTCCAGAGAACGCAACAACATTGGAACTTCAAGAAATCAACCAAGAAGACTTAGAAGAAGCCTTCAAGACGACGAAACAAATAAGAGTTCATAATCTAAAAGAATTGTCTTTTGAACACTCTTATTTAAACACATATGTAATCATAGGTTTAAGTCTTGCTATTTTATTTTTAATTTTACTGTTTTACTGTTTTAGGAAGTTTAAAACTTCAGAAAAAGGTTGTGCAAATGTGCAAATTGAATTGTCTGATTTGAATTTGCAACAATCCACGTTTGCAACATCTTAAGGAGGGAGGAGTTATATTAACCAATTGCCATGCTGATTTATAATCAATTATCTATTTTTTATATGCTTTAATGTGCTTACCCCTTTCCTCTAGGACTTTTTAAATACATTGTTGTAAAGTAAACATCAAATTGCTATGTCGGCATTAAATGATTATTTAAGCCGATGCAGTCCCATAAGGAACGTTCATTTGTTCTCTGGCTTTAGCCTGTAGCAATTTGATCCGAATATTTTCTTTTGTCACCTCTGTATTTTAATCAATAAAATAAATGTTTTTTAAAATACAAGTTTCTGAATCGAAAATATAATTGAGTCATCAATAAGCTTTGTCATTTTATTTATAAACAAATTCACTGCTAGGTTTGGATTTTGGCATGTTGTCACGTCGTTCCAATTTTCTCGATTTATTTTATTTTCTATATTTTTATATTTAATTATTTTAATATTGTAGGAATTATCTAAGGGATGTGACTCGTTGTTTATGTCAATATTTAAGATTATAGGAAAGTGGTCAGTCATATAATTTTTTAGAACAGTAGGTTTTGTCATGATATTATTGTTTTTACTTTTTAAAAGGAAGTGATGTGCCGCTTCTAGGTCTTGTTATAGAATATATTTGTTTTCTATATCCAAATTCACATAAGCAGTTTAGAGGATCTTGACAGGTGGAGTCTGTTCCAAAGATATTTATATTTATATCCCCACAAAAAATTTCGAAATCATTGTTTAAAGAATTCGAGCTTAAGAGTGAATTTAAATTTATAATAAACTGATCACGATTCACGGAGGGGGAGTTGTAAATTCCTATGATACTAAAAGTTTTTTTGGTTTTTGTTGAAAGTAATTCTCAGAAATTTTGAATGACCATATTGTAGTATTTTTCCTGTCGGATTTAAACAAGATTTTACAAGAATTACCGTGCCATCGTAACTATTAATTTGGCTATCATTAAAAAATATGTCATAATCCTTTAGTTTGAAATCCTGAAGGTCATAAATAGTATGTGTTTCGGACAGTATGATAACTTCAAAGTCAATTTTTGAAAGTTCCAAGAGCGCAACCGACTCATCATAATGGCAGCACAGGCCGCAGATATTAAAGTGAATGAAATTATAGTATATTATGATATAAGTGTATAAGGGGGCATTTAAAGCACGCGCGACATATTTCAAAACACGACGCGTAGCGGAGTGTTTTATAAGTCGCAAGGGCTTTAAATGCCCTCTTATACCCGCTTATCATACGCTATTTTTTATTACGAATGCATCATAATCTTAAAAATGTTTTAAAAGTGTTGAACGTTTCTATAGCAAACCTCTGAAAAGGTAGACGCATCATAAACATCATTTTATGCACGCTGCAGCGTGCGATAATCGTTGATTATGATGCATGCGTAATAAAAATAAATTTATCATTTTTTAAATGGACGGCATTGCCAATATCATCAATTTCGTAGTTTACAATGTTTTGGTAGTCGTCAAGTATATCGTTAAACGCCATTTTTATTTTAGAAAAGTATTACGTAATAATCATATTTTAGATAGAAATGCATTTGACTAACCTAAAAGTTCATCCAACATAGCTTCATTTATTATGTGGACTGGTTTATCATTATCATTTTTCCTCGGCAAGATTTTCCCATCACGATGCCATACATGCTTATAATCCATATTTTTAAGTTCCTTTGCCTTTTTAAAAAGCGTGTAGGTGTCTTTGGATATATCTTCACTGATAAAGATAGGCGTATTTTCGTCAACAACACCAACGCTGGATATCGTAATTTTTCGGAATGACGTATTTTTTGTCCTTATTTTGTAGTGAAATAACAGTCTTCATCTCGTTTCTTGTCTCAATGTTTTCAAGAACTTTGTACTTAGATTCTGGCACAGTCACTTCTAAAGCCTGAAACAGAGAGTGCAGTTTGTTTTGTAAATTTTCCTTATCGCCTTATCGTTTTTATGTTATATTACCGATATCACATTTCTCGGACAAAAATCTCGTGGCATTGGGGAGAATCCGACGCTCGACCTAATGCCACGAGACGTTTGTCCCAGAAAAATGCCCCAGTTCACATCAATTCTCTAAGAAGCTGTAGGTAGGTACTCGATGATCAACGGATTACTAAACAGCCCATTACAGAGAAATTGAAAACCCTGGAGTTCAGAGACGCAGAATTCACTCAGATGAGTTACAAGGGAAGGAATAAACCCATACGCTGCTTTTTCTTGTAAATCCTCACCAAATTCGTGAGGATTTGTATGGGGGATTGATCTCGAAATTTAGAGGAGGCTCATATCCAGATATCCTTATGAATGCTCTAGGCGTTTGAGCATACACAAGATTCCTTAGAACGTGGAAAAAGTGAGCAGGTCGAGTTCCTGTACACTTCTGAAGCTCACCAAAGGGTATGGGCGCCATATCACTTGCGCCAATAAGATGCTAGTGTACAGTCGTTCCCTTGATGTGAGAATTCTTTTAACTAGTCTTGTGGCAGAGAATATTACTCTGAGCACCTAATTCTTGTTTGTTGTCGAATACTTGATAGGGTGCGTAGTAACACTTTGTAGTAAGCAGTTGACTGTTAGGTGTGATTGAGTACAAACGACTGATGATTTAATACTCATTTATTTAAGGAACGGTAACACGATTTATACACGAATAAATTAAATATTCACAGAGGTAATTGACTAATAAATTAACTAAAGTGCTTACTTGTATGTTTTACTGACCCACTGTTCGTAATGGCGATGACTTCAAGAATGCTTGGCTAGTTGGTATAGTAAATAGAAAATAATTCATATATTTATTAAGAGATAATAAGTTTTAAATTTGGAAGAAAATATGGCTAATTTGTAATTAGACATTCTGGCCACTCGGCTTCTGGGACCTCTGCTTATCATTGCGTGGAGTTGGGATTGGTGTTAACGATTGGTCAGCCAAGGCTTGTCCTGGTGTGTGGGTATTATGCCTACTGGATTTCTTACCTTGCAAACACAACCATATTAGAAGCATTGCAGTCACTCCTAGTATTAGTAGTACTCGAGTCCATTTGACGTCTTGTACTTGTCGATCGATGTCTAATTCTTCACTCTGAAGATGAGACAGTTGATCGGAGGCATCAATAACTTGTTCGTCGTGAGGAATCATTGCGATTTCCTTGGTAGCTTGAAATGTTTCCAAACTTAGTTCTACTGGGCGGACAAAAGCTCCTAAAACAGTTACAGATTCCAATATTCTCGGTGTCAAAATAGTTTTCCTTGTCTTAAAAACGCAATTTGATGAAATTTCGATAATTGCGGTCTGGTTTATCGTGGCCTCTTCTCTGATATCATTGCAGATAATCGCAATTTTTAATTTATTGGTGATTATTGCCATCCATGCGTTTGGAATATAAAGCTGTTTCCATACGGTGGCTGGATGGAAAAGCGTTGAGTTTGGCATGATGTATTTTCAGTTATTTGGTGAACTTCGTCGATTATGCAGTTGGGGGTGCCGTCCATAGTTCTAGTGTTGGTAGGTGAGCAAACGTAAACATTTTGACCGACATTTATGCTATCTCGAAATTCTCCTTCGGTCAGGTCAAAATACAACTACAACTGAGGTCAAAATAGAACTGCAACTGAGCTGCTAGTAGTCCGCTTCTAAGTTCTAGAATCCAGTACGCATTCTTTTCGGTCTTGACTGGAATAGGTGTTGGTTTTAACAGAACGAAATCGTTGATTTCTGTCATCATAAAGTATCCATAGGCGTGGACAAATTCATCGCTGTGACGGACTTCAGTTCGTTAAATTGGGTAGGAAATGATATTAATGTTTGACGGCAGCTTTTTGGATACGGTTGCAATGATTTCTTCAGCATGGGCTGGAGATATCAGTTCGTAAAGGTTTGCTCGATGATAATGTACATCTAGTAATTTCTTATAGTACTCTAGAAGTTCGTCTATATAAATTGACATCATCTGGTATGTGCTCAAAATATGTATTTCTAGCTTGTTTTCATCCACTTTCTGGAATCAACCTTGCGTCCCGTTAATGATCTTGATGCGTTTATTCAATTTCTGTTGAAACCTTTCTAAGTTATTTTTTATTCTAGTCTCCGTTTCGTTGGATATTGCTCGAGCATGCAACATAAACTTGGTTTGGTAATTTGAGGCTTTGATTAGCTCTCTTTGGTTTTTGTCAAGCTCGTCTATACTCATATAGACTTCGTCCTCGTTTCTCTCACTTGGTGACCACAGCTTCCATTGCTTTTTCCATCCAGAGAAGTTGGTTTTCCTTTTCCCGTAAATGATGAATTAGCGATGTACATTGGCTTGATGTTGCTATTTCTTTTGCATCTCGACAAAGGTCAGCCACCTGTTTAATTGCTAGGGCTACGTTGGAAGTGTAGTTAGATATTTTTGACTTTTCAAATTTGATTTCGATTCTGAAATTTCCTCTGTCAATCTTAGCGTGTCCAATGTGTTCGATGAATATTGCCGGGTTCTGGATAATGAATTGTGTAATTTTTGCGCAATAGCACTAAATAAAGTGTTCATAAATATTCATAAATAGAATGGCTATCATTTTCCACAGGTGAATGCTCCGTGGTTTGTTTTGTTGTTTCTTGGATTTGGAGTTTCCATGTTGTTCAGTCTCTTTGCTTAGATGTATTATGGAAATTGGAATTAATTTATATATAGGTCTTTTCATAGTATGTACATCTGCTTTCCTCACAGTGACTACTCGAACAGACTTATCGCTTGCAGGAAACACTTCGGTAATTTTAGCAAGAGGCCATCTACTAGGATTGATATCTTCCTTGATAAGAACTAATTCTCCCATTTTTAGTGCTTCTTGCGACTGATTCCACTTGTATCGTTGTTGAGGTTGGTGTAGATAGTGGTTTGACCAGTTTTTCCAGAAGTCGTGTTTGATTTTTTGCACCAATTTCCATCTTCCATTGAGGTTTGAGTTGATGTTCGTCGTGACTGGGTCTGGAGATGAGATTACTTCCCGTCCAATCAAAAAATATCCCGGAGTAAGTACTGCTAGGTCTTCTAGATCATTGGATAATGGACATAGTGGTCTGGTCTGGAGTTGAGATAGGCTTCGATCTGGTGCGTTAGCGTGCTCAGTTCCTCAAAGGTGAGTCTTGTTTCTCCAATATTTCTCTTTAGATGATATTTTATGGATTTTTCTCCAGGTTCCCATAAGCCTCCAAAGTGCGGGGCTGATGGTGGTATAAAATGCCATTGTGTTCCAGCAGATATCAGTGTATTCTGGGAATTGGATTTTTGGATGGTTTCGTGTATCTCGCTTTTGAGTATCTTGCTCGCACCAACGAAGTTTGTTCCATTGTCGCTGTAGAGATGTGAGCAGGGTCCTCTTCTAGCTATAAATCGTCTAAATGCAGTTAAAAACATATCAGAAGACATGTCGCTGACCACTTCTTAGTGAACAGCTTTTGTCACTGAGCATACAAAAATCGCTATGTACCCTTTATATGACTTAAAACCTCCGCCCCTTGAAGTTTTCATTTGTATTGGTCCTGCATTGTCGACACCGGAGTTGGAGAAAGGATGTGACGGGGTGACTCTTGGGCCTGAAAAGTCTATCATTTGTTGCTCTGCTGTTTGGGCCTCTAATCGGATACATCTGAATAATATAATGCTTGTTTGTATTTTTTAATGCATTCTTTCCATTTATGATTCAAAGTTGTTTTCTGGTGTGAGCTAATATAAGCTGATTCCCACCATGTGTGGTGAGATGGGCATCTGTGACTACGCATCTTGCCAGGTGACTTCAATACGCCAAAAACATGGGATGTTTGTTACTGTATGTGAGTGCTGAAGTCGACCTCCTACTCTCAAAACTTCATCATTGTCTAGAAATGGGTTGAGACTTTTGCTCTTTGTTTCTAGTTGCTTCTGTAGCGTTTTGATTTCTTTTTCGAAATAGTTGCTGTTCCATTTTGACAATGTGTAACAGCGTGGTTGCCATTTCTTCGACAGTTAATTTCGATGGATGCTTTTTTTTCTGTATTTGTCCCGAAATCTTTTACAATAGCATAGGTATCACCCGGATCATTCTTTTTAGTGACAAGAATCTTTGAATGATCTCATTGCTGCCCTTTGTTTGTGTGGTGATGATGACTGTGTAGCTAATTTTCTTCTTCAGTCGTTGCAGGAATCATGAAAGGATTTCTTGTTACGCTATGTAACATTAACCATGATGGTCCGTGCCACCAGAGAGCGTATTTCTTTAGTTTTGATGGCTCTAGTCCTCTGGATATTACATCGGCAGGATTGTCTTCCGATTTTACATGATGTCAGAATCCATTGGATACAAGTTTGTTTATTCCAGAGACTCTATTAGCAACAAAATGTTTCCATCTAGGCATAGACTGGAACTTTCTCTAGCGATAAAGCTGATATAGTTATTTTGATTAGTTTTGACAACAGACCTGCAGTACAAAGTCCAAGTCGTTTTAGAGTTGCCTTCATCCGTTCTGGAGCAACTTTCGATTTAGCAGTTAAGCGAGTGACTTGGCTTCCATCTCGTGAATTTGTAAGTTTCATGTAGATGACTGCACCGTATGCTTTCTCTAATGCATCGCAAAATCCATGTCTCTCAATGTTGCTTTATTTGGATTGATGTGTACATCTGAAAATTGTTGATTGTTCGACATTTTCTAGTTCTGCTTGAAATTTCTTCCATTTGATTTGTATGTGTTCAGGTACAGGATCGTCCCATCTTAATTCTTCAGTTTTAAAACGGAAGGTATCG